GCGCATGGCACTGACAAAAAAACCCCTAAACCCTAAACCCTGAACCCATAAACCCGCAACCCTAAACCCCTAAACCCTAAACCCATCCTCAAACTGCGGCCTCTTTCGGGTCGAGCGGATCGGTCACATCGGGGCTGTAGCCTTGCTTGGGCTTTCACAGTTTAGGGTACTGAACCTGACACTAAACCCTAAACCCTACTTAGGGTATTGAACTGACCCTAAACCCTCAACCCTTCTTATTGAGCTGACGGTTTTGAAGAGTCTCGGGCCTTTGCAGTTCTAGGGTTTGGGGACCTTTAGGCTTTAGGCTCAAGCTATATATATATATATCTCTCTCTCTCTCTCTCGTGCGGGATGCTGCCGGTGACGGCCAGCATCCCGAGGCATTCACCCACCCTCAACAGTTTGGGGTTTAGGGTTTAGGGGTTTGGGGTTTTGAGGTTTAGGTGTTTAAAGTTTAGAGTATAGTGTTTAGGGTTTATGGGTTCAGGGTTTTAGGGTTTAGGGGGGTTAGGGTCTCACATGACCCGAACCATCATACGCCTCCGGCCAAAACGTCTAAAATCACATGTCCGCATATCTGCAGATCTCTTGGCACTGAGTCGAGGACCGTCTGCATACTCGTAGTAAGGATTGTCCTGAGGGCAAGAAAAAACCCTGTGGAGGGAAGTTTGAGGATTAGAGGCGGATTTTCTTCTAGTCTAGGGGGTGTGAGTAGAAACCTAAAACCCCCAAACCCCAAACTCCAAACCACTAAACCCCAAACCTCTCAACCTGCTCACGAAACAGGAGGAAGTCGAAGACCCCCAAAACTCAAACTCCCAAACCCCCAAAAACCTAAGTCCCTATAGTTGCCTTAAAGCATCCCTCAAAAGGAACGAACCCTTCGAGGAGCCCTGGAGGTTTCCTCCCAAGCAACGCCCCGCCTCGGCTCGGAGAACCTGGGCGCCGTCGTAGTTGTAGGTGGATTCGCCCGTCTGGAACCTCGGCGCTCAGAAAGATGCGGATTTAGGGTTTATAGTGTTCCATAAAAGTCCCTTTAAGGAATATGGGTTCTATAATGGGGTCCCTTGTAAGGTAATACGGCTGAATGTTCCATAAAGCCGTCCCTTTAAGGGTAGTATATGGTTCTATAATGGGGTCCCCTTTAAGGTCTTATAGGGCTTAGTGTTCTAGAAAAGGGCCCCTTTAAGGGTAGTATAGTATTGGGTTCTAAAGTGGGGGCCCCTTGAAAGTCCTCGGGTGTCGGGTAAAGGGTTTAGGGTTGTAAGCTTCAGAACAATAGCTAGGTGTTCACGGTTTAGGGTTTAGGGTTTAGGTGTTTCTTGTCGGGAGGCGTCCTTCTTTGCAGGGTCACTGCATTCTTTTTTTTTTTAGGTTCGGGTCCTTGTTGTCGGAAACTCCGCTACGAACGCTTCTAATCGAATCAAGATTTTACATGGGGAACTAGGGTTTTAGAAGGAGGATTGTGTATCGTTGTGTAGCATTCTTCGGGGTTCATATTGGAAGCTGCTGCAAACTAGGGGCACCTTAGATTTGGCGATCGTCTTCTGACGGGGTAAATTTTGGATTTAAGCCTAAAGGGGTTCAAGGGTTCCTTTAAGGATTCCTTTACTATAGGGGGTTCGAGGGTCCAAGGCACCCAATAACTGCGTACTTCGGTCTCGGATAGCAGTTATGTCGATTACTATTCAGGAGGGTGCTTGACTATATTAGGTACTTGGACCATCAAGCTTTCGGGGCTTAACTAATGCATGTTTATATGTCTGGTTTTGAGTGTCTGTTGTTCGGGGCTGAGGGCTAAACATTACAGCCCGAAACATTAAACCCTAACCCTCAACCCTTAGGGTGCAGGTGTGGGAGTTTGGGCTTTAGTTGCTGCCACAGGACTCAAAAAACTTTTTCCGGGATCAAGATACACGGTAGTGTGGGGTCGTTGGGATTCTTATCTTCGCATTCTGAGCCTTCGTGCCGGTTGCTGCTACAAGATGGCAGAGCAAAGGGCACCAGGCATCAAAACTGCAAAAGTAAAGCTTGTCGAAGCTTTCAATCCCAAATGGGGAAAGTGTGAATGCCCAGCACGTCGACCCTGCACCCTCAACTCAGAACCCCGAACAACAGGGCAGGGTAACACAGGTTTTGGACAGCTCCCGTGCGGCGATTCCTTTTCACGACCTGCGAAACGGTCTCTGGCTGCGACTCTGAGTCTGATGTGGCCCTGAACTCCGAAACCTTACATTGCCTGGATTCTTTAGTTTTCGTTGCCGCGTCAGCATCATGTGGTCACACTAGATCATGAACCCTAAAACCTGATTGAACCCCGACGACCTAAAGGCACCAGACCTCCGGCGTCGAAAAGAGCTTAACTTAGGGTTAAGCTTTTCAGTTATGGTTGGATGATATAGACCCGAGAAGGTTGAAAGGTTGCCTGCTCAGCTGCTAAATTAATCCCAAAGACCGAAATCCTGAGTCCTAAACCCTACCTACGCCCGAAGTCGATCCTGCGCATCTTTGTGCCGCAGCTTGGCTCGGCAGGGGCGTAGATCCGAAGGGATATTTTTCAGCGCATCTTTGTGCCTTTCCCGCCCTCGCTCTCTGAATTCTACGCGGTACATGTCCTCAACGCCGAACCCTCGTCAGAGTTCGCCCCATCGTCCTCTGGTGCAGGGCTTGTGTTATTTCTCGCGGGTGCAGGGAGGTTTACGGTTTAAGGTGGTTTGAGGTTTACAGGGTTTATAGGGGCTGGGGCTTTGGGTTGCAGGGCTCGCAGTCTTTGGGTTTCGGAATCCCATGTTAAAGCTAGGGCTGGAGGAGTCAGGGACGGCATCATTCCTAGATCTACGGCCCCAAGCCTAAACCGGGCGCTTAATCACAAGTCTGACGGAACCCGTCTTCCGAATCCAAAACCATATTGTAGTCTTGACGACCTGCCTGAACCCTGAACCCTAAACCCAAAGGTGGTTGTGGTGTACTCACGCACACACAAAGACTTGAGGGAAAACCTACTAAACTCTAAACCCTAAACCCAAAGGCTCCATGTACCCATATAATATATACTTAGACCCTAAAGTACCTACATAGGAACCCCTTTAAGGGCTAAGTATATACTATATGGCTACATGGAGCCTTTGGGACACAAAGATTTCTGTCCCATGGTCCTCGCGGGCAGCAGTCATTGGCTGCCCGGGTGGAGTATCAGACAGCTCCTGGCAACTCTCTGTTACTTGAGTTTCCTGGATGCTTTAAACCCGCAACCCTACACCCCGAAATCCTAAACCCTAACCCAAGGCCCACAGGCTCCATGTAGCCATATAGTATACACTTAGGCCTTAAAAGGGTTCCTACATAGGTACTTTAAGGCCTATGTATGTACTATCTGGGTACATGGAGCCCTAGGGAGGGTCGAGCTCCAGGAGTATGGCTCCTTTTTGTGGTTTATATTTAGATCCTACAAGGTAATCCCAAAAAGGAACTGCTTAGGGGCCTATGGGTAACCCGAGGGTCGAGCTCTAGGAGTATGGCATCTCACGGTTTCCGACCGTCGCTTTTAGCACCCTGTCAGCTCAAGGGGCCTTAGGGCTCCCGTGAACTAGAGAAATGGGTTAGGGTTTAGGGTTACTGGTTTGGGTTTAGGGTGTAGGGTTTAGGGTCTAGGGAACTAGAGTAATGGGTTACTGGGTTACATATCCCTAAGAGCTCGGGTATGGGTTACTGGGTTACATACTATAGGGCTGGTAACCTACTACATCAGTAACTGGAGATTTGGGGCAGGCCTATTGTTGTCGGTTGGGGTCAAGATTAGGCACGTGGCCAGAGTCTATGAGTCGCATTTCCAAACCACCATGGCCCAAGTACGCCGGTATCCATGTTGCTCCATACACCATCCGTATCTCTATCCAACGTTCATCTGCACGGCTTTTGTCGACATACTGATTTCGCTGGACCGGTGGGTGGATCTATAAGCTTGTCGTTGGCATAACTGTAGGCACATGGTGCAACCTGCGAATGATTCGGATTGCTCAGCTCGACCATGTGACGTGTGAGCGCCTTGCCGTTCACGAGCCGTCGACGCGCTCCCGGCAAAGGCCCGATATCATTGGAGTTAATTAAGGCGATTATTATTGTTATTACTACTATTATTATTATTATAAACTATTTTTGATGCTGTGCGCATCACAGCTTCGCTGTGATGCGAAGTCGCACCTGAGGCCTCCGGCCCTCATGTGCTCAGAGCATGTCAACAGGCCACTGCTCACAAAAAGAAGTGACCACAAGGCTGTTCGTGGCACAGGTCTTCTGTCTCGGATGCTTCTAGGGTCTATAGGTTTAGGGGACCAGATCTTCCAGGCAACTGACGCGCCTCTGGGATTGCGGTTTGGGTTTACTCTTGGGCTTCAGGGAATAGGGCCTGGCGGTCTGGATGGGTCTTACCGCTTAAGGCGCCCAGTCACAGCGGTCACTGTGTGCCACCGAATCCTTCTCGCGATGGCTCGGCCAGGCGAGGCCTTTTCTCAGGAGTCTCTTGGTCAACCTGAAAGTTCAGGTCAGCGCCGTTCTCCTGCAAGAACCGGAAGAGCCTGGCCTGCCCTACCCTGGCGGGTCCTTGTCTCATCACCGATGTCAAGGCAGTCTCACCGTCCGGAGCAACAGCGTTCACGTCGGCCCGGGAGCTTAGCAATAGCTTTGCAACCTGCAGACGCCTATCACTGGAGTCACTGGCAATGCGATGAAGCTCGTCGTACAAGTCTTGGTCAAAACGGAAATAGTGGACGTGGAGATCGGCCTCTCGATCGTAATCATGACTGTGGTAGCGAGGATATGCAACTTGGAATCGGAACTTATTACTTTCCACAAGGTCCTGGCCAACCTTCAACATGTCTTGGCCAAATTTGAAAACCCTTTGCACGTATGGCAGCTCTTGCTCAAGCCAGACATGCAAGGGCGACTTTCCCTTTCCGTTTGGTTGGTTCACATCAGCACGGTTCTCCAGCAAGAACTCGACGACACTGGCATGTTGAAACCTGTCCTGTCCTTGTCTCATCACCGATATCAAGGCAGTCTCACCATCCGGATCAACAGCGTTCACGTCGGCCCGGGAGCTCAGCAATAGTCTTGCAACCTCCAGATGCCTATCAATGGATTCGCTGGCAACGCGATGAAGCTCGTCGTACTCTTGGTCAAAAGGAAAACCGGGGTAGCGCAGACCGTCCTCTTCATTCGACCAGCCATTATGACCTCGACCTCGGAACTTCGTAGAACGAAGGCGGAGAATCCCCTCTTCCACAAGCCTGTCCGAAAGGCCTCTGTCAACAATCAACCTGTGTTGTCCATCATCCTTGAAATGAAGCTTCAGGTGTGGCAGCTTGAGCGAGACATGCAAGGGCGACTTTCCCTGGTTTGCTTGGTTCACATCAGCACTGTTCTCCAGCAAGGCCTGCGCCAACTCAGGCTGGAGCCTTCTGCATGCCTTGTTCAAGGCTGTACTAGGACCATGTGCCTCTCTGATCGTAGAGTTTACATTCACATGTGCCTCCAACAAGAGCCTGGCAATCTTCAGACGTCTTAAGCTAATTGCCCCATGGAATGCACGCCTGACTGTGTCACAACTTGGGTCCAACCGGTGCAGCAATGCTTCGACGTCCTCAAGCTGGCCCTCCCGGCAAGCATCTGTAAATTGGGCCAAGGTCAGACGGTCTGAATTGTCTGACAAGTCTTCATGCTGCAACACGAAACAGGATGTGACAAGTGTCACCTCGCCGTTGCACTGTGTCAGCATGTGCCCCAGGACATCTGTCAAGTATCGGTTCAGGTTCTCTCGAATCTGCACCGTATTGCGAGAGTCCCCTGGAATCAGCACCCCCTGCGAGAGTCCTCTGGACTTTGCACCACAAGACGAAGCTGAAATCTCGAAACGCGCTCAGTCTTCTTCTTGTCCTGATTAAGCTTGTCCTTGACAGCCCACAACAAGTCCTTGACTGTGGTGCCCTCAATCGGAGTCTCCAGAAGTTGGCCACCCAAGCCGCGTACTGCCAGCATGAGCTGAAAGCTGCTAGTCGAGCGTGTTGGCAAGATTGTAAACAAAGCAACATGAAAGCTGTCGAGCCAGGTGGCGGCGCCTTAATGCAACTGCGAGCGAAGCATGTGCTACGAGCGCACGAACCAAATAACAAGCATCTTCCCACCTTGCTTTCATGTGCAAGCTGTAAACAAGCCAGGCCCACCGAGGCATCAGCAGAGAATCGCAGTGTCCATGACCATGACGCATTTGTTGCCGGAACAAGAAGACCTGCTCTGACAAAGCCACCTCGATGGAGAACTTACTACATCCCGCGATCAACCCTAAACTCTAAGGCTATACCCTAATATAGCGGCCTTAATAATTAACCTATAAAGGACCCCATTCTGATCATTAAGGCCCCTTTATTAAACCGTTGGAACCTTGAGGCGACGGACTCGACCATGCACCGGAGTGTTTCAACATTACATGCAACAAAGTCTGTACCTCAAAGCGCCCCTCCCCGGTCCTTGTCGTGCTCTTCCGTGCTGCTGTCTTAATACGAGTTTGAAGGATCTATGCCAGAAGCCAGAAACATTAAACCCTATCGTCGCTCGACGTTGAAGGACCCTGTGGAAAACACAAGCCTTGTAGCTCGAACCGAATCGAAATGTATATCTCCCTAACCCCCAGGTACCTACTATATAGGGCCCTAGGGGCCCTAGTACCCTATATAATAGGTAACTTGGGGAGGGGGGGGTCTGATAGCCCAATGCGCTTGCGCTAAACCCCGGTCAGCCTGGAGTCCTCAAGAAACCCAAAGGCTCCATGTACCTATATAGTATATATTAAGGCCTTAAAGGGGTTCCTATATAGGTACTTTAGGGTCTAAGTATATACTATATGGGTACATGGAGCCTTTGCGAAAGGGAAGCACTCACTGTCCATGGTTTCGTGGCACAGACTACCCATAGGCCCCTAAGTAGCTCCCTTTTGGGATTACCTTGTAGGATTCTATATATATATATATAAACCATATAGAGGAACTACTTAGCGGCCTATGGGTACAGCTCCAAACGGCAAACACGGGGATCTTGGAATGTCGATGTCGGAGGCTTACAAATGGGAGCATTCACGGGATCTCACCCGTCTGAGCCGCACTTTTCCCCGTTTCCCGCGTCGGGGCAGCAATGCTTACCCAAAGGCTCCATGTACCCATATATATATAGTATATACTTGGGCCTTAAAAGGGTTCCTATATAGGTACTTTAGGGTCTAAGTATACACTATATGGGTACATGGAGCCTTTGGCTTAGAATGCAGGCTACCCCCTGGACCTTAGGCCCAAGAGCAAAGACCAAATCTCTGAACTTTCAACCCAGAGGCCGGAAACCCTAACAGAACCGGTTGATTACGCTTGAAAAAGGGCCGTGTGCTCAATGGGAATAGGAATTGAAGGAGAGTACTCGGAGGGCCCAGGTGTGCCCCAAGCCTAAACCCCTAAACCGCAAAGCCCAAAACCGCATAGCAGTCTATACTAGACCTGAAACTGTACATCCCACAGCTCCCAGATCCTAACCCACAAGCTACCCTGCACCTTGCACCTTGACAACATACATGTTGCTATGGCTCCATATAAGGGCTGGAGACTTGAAGCCTGAAAATGGCGCCTCAGGCGACACATCACAAAACCCGATGAACCTTTGAGAGTCTCTACATTCCATAAGACACCGTATGAAAAGCCACTATAGGGCCCAGTACAGGAAGCCTCTGCGGCTCACTTCGAGAGAGCCCGAGCCCTGCAGACCCGGAGACTCTTCTCTCACTTCTTGTCGCCCTTGGCTGGACACCTGCAACATCTTGCCCCGTTGTACCTCTTGATGCTTTACCTAGACAGCGCCAGGATCTTACAATTTCGATTTTGAGCTACATGGGCAGGGATCTACAACGTGTGTATGCGGGCGTATGTGTGAGAGAGAGGGAGTGTCCGCGCACAGGTGCGCATCGCTGTCTGCACTGCATTAAGCGCATGGCTTCGTGCATGTGTACGTTCGGTGTGTTTGTGTTATATGCAAGGTCATGTATGCATGCATGTAAATGCATCTGTATTTGTAGCTGTAGCTGTATCTGTGTATGCATGCATGCATTCATGTATGTAGGTAGGTATGTATGTGCGTATGTATGTATGTGTGTTTGTTTGCTTGTGTATGGATGTATGCATGTCTGTATGTCTGTATGTATG